ACCGCGGGAATCGTTCGAAACACGGGCGATTCGAGACGAGTGAGAAAAAACAAAAAAAGAGCGGGGCTTCGGGCGAACGAGGATTAATGTGCACGGATTCGGGCAGGGAAAGAGTTTTTCGGGACCCGATGAAGACCGTCAAAAAGTATTGATATATGTCATTATTCTACATTGTCAGTAGGAATATGTATTGATTATAGTTACTTATTTTCATCCTACTAAATACAAGCTTACTCGTTCTTCGTTTCTTCCTTTTTTTTATCTTTTCACATACTGAACTTTGACTATCGAAGTTCGATTATTCGTTTGTATTATAGAGCAAAACAATAAATTAAAATTTATCTCATTTTAGAATGAATATTTTGAATTTATTCCCTTTTACCAATAACAATGATCAAATTACATGATTTCATTGGCGGATTTAGGGAAGGGAGTTGGTCGGTTCCATTCTGAAAGAAATTCGTTTTTTTCTAGCAGAAGAGTCTACAAATTGAATTTTAAAACACATTGTATGATCAGAATTCGTCCCTATCCTAACAGAATCGTTCCGTATAAAAAAATCCAAATTTCTCCGTTGCATGATTTATCAACTGATGTAGCATAAACTACTGAAAATAAACTAAATCGCGAATAAAAACGTTTTTCGGGTATCACGGGGCGCGGAACCCGTCGAAAAATCGAGGGACGGGCGGGGTAGAACAAAAACGTTTTTACATTGGAAGCAGGCGGGACGGTTTCGCGATCTCTACGGGGCGAGTCCTGTTGGGCATCAAAATTTGATGCTACGCACATCTCTGATTTATAGTAAGTATCTTGACGTCCAGAAATGTTTAATTCCTCTATCTCCTTTATCTGAATGTCTTTGATGAATAATCCTTAACCAATGATAAAACAATGAATGTTGATCGCATATTTGTATGTATAATCGAATGATATTTGTCTGTCGAATCTTTGCATTTATATACATTTTTTGTCAATTGTTTTGTGCCTACGCATTATTACAATATTTTACTACATTAATTTGACAGGCTTTCTAATGTGATTTTTGCTATTTCGAACCGTAATAGATGATGAATCATTTCTTGTCGATAAACAAAAAAACATCATGCGTTATTATCCCAAAGAAGAACACTCATAGGTGAAGGACGAACTTTGCATGAAAAATAAAACCTACTCAACTGGTATTTTTCTTGGTCAACTGGATTGAATCAAATATCAACGGAAAGTATGTTGAGACCAACATATTGGTCTTAGTTTCATGAGATTTCCATCGAATTGTGAACCTTACAAGCTATCAACAAAGTATGAGATTTTTGGTTATTATTCCAATACTCGATCCTATCACAGTGAATTCACTCTAAGAATAAATAGACAAGACAAAATACGATTGGAATTATGAATTTTATAGCTGTTTGATGAGCCTTCAATTGCATATATATTTCACAGTTTAGATGAGAATTCAGTTGAGTTCTGAGCGTGCGAAATAATTTATAAAAAAGGTTTTTTTAGAAAAGAAAAGATTCTATAATAGGAACAGAGCTCGATAAACAATGTGAAATAATTCATGTGGACAAAAGTTTTACAAAACGGACTCTGATTAAACAACAATAAAAAAATGCTTTTTCAAAAATTTTTCATATTTTACTTATAAAAAACCAACAATTTTTTTATATTTCAGGTTTTTGAATGCTCTTTTACTTTAATCGTATAAGTCATACAATAATTGATGTTTATTGTTGTATTTAGGTTTCGATATTATTAGGATATAAGACCGTGAATTAGTTAAGAGTTATTTATTGAATCATTTTGAAAATATTTAAGTATTTCAATTTTTGAATTTAAGCTATTCAATGGCATTTACTAAATACTAAATTTTTCTATAAGAACCATGATGTGTCATATACTATCAATTATACTATTTATGGAAACAAATTAAGTTTCAATTTCATTAGTACTCATAATCATTTATTATACCTCATGTCGCCCCTACTCGTCATGTGTTTGATTCGATGATTTTAAGAAATATAAAATATCTATATGAAACTCCAGTTTTTAATATTTAAGTATGTATCTGAGGATCCTGACTAGAAATCTTTTTTTTCGTTAATGACTAGAAAAATTTTTACTTACTAATTGTTGAAAGTTCACGAATGATTCAATGCTCGCATTATCAGAAAAAAATAATAATAATAATAAAATTATATTCTTTGTTGAAATGAAAAACAAACAAAATACTTGTTTGCTGTATAAACAATACTTCTATTTTTATATATTAACGATATATCTTACTAAAAACAAAAATTACAACAATGCTACTCCAATCTCAACTAGGTTTCAAACTCGTCTGCCACATGTATAAGTCATCAATTGATTGTTTAATTTAACAAGATGCAGTTCCGATCTACTGATAAATACTGTTACCATATATCTCCTATTTAGTCAGTTGGTATTTTTAGACAATTATTGAGATTTCTTTATGATGTGAGGATCGTGGTTTTATGTAATTCATTTTTCGTTTGTTCCCAGAGAAAGATCAGAGATAATTTTTTCAACGAAAAAAAACTTTCTTCAAATTCTTTAAATGACATATAAATTAACTCAACTCTTTTTGCTGATTCCAAAGATCATATTAGTTTTCATTCAAATTGAAACTTTTTCGATTGAAATCTTTTAAATATTGATTAAAAATGCACAAACTGCACGTAGAAAGGAATGTACTAAGGAATTTTTGTGAATGAACAATTTTGTTTTTTAACTTTGTAAAATATATGATTTTGTAGCTTATCCAAAGAATTATCAAATGAGCAATACAAGAATATTTCTCACTTCAATTTTTTGGAATTGAAATATTTGCTGAATGATGATAATAGTGGATCATAAATATAGTAAATATGCAAATAATGTCTATCAGTACATTGGATCTAAATCTCGTTAAATTAAAACAATCAGTTAGTGATTAATATATGGGATTCAAACATCATCAAGCAGCTTTGAGATTCATAATTTTTATAGTATTTTGTCTTGCCTATTCATTCTCAGAGTGAATCCACAGTGATAAGATAAATAATTCGAACAACGGTCAAAAATGTCTCATTTTGTTAATCGCTTTTAAAGTTCGATAGAAACCTTATGAAACTGAAATCAGTATGTTATTGTCAATATGCTCTGTCTGTTAATATATGATTCAATGGTGTTGACCCAAAAAAATAATAGTACAATGATTTGACTTGCTATGCAATGTCCGTCCTTTACCGGTATGTTTCCGTTGAGACAAGAACTCGGGACGTTTTTTTTTGTTTGTCTGAAAAAGATGATTGATGATCTGTTATGGGCAAAATAGCGAATAGAGCGTTAAAAAATGATCTGATTATGATATTAAAACATCGCAAAATATGTGTCAAAACAAATAGGGATAAAAAATGTACGTAAATACGTAAATTAGACTGTCACATATCATTCGATTACAGACTAACATGTGATTAACACGATTTGCTTTATCATCGGTATAGTATACTGTTTGTTTTCTTTCTCTTCTGTTCTTCGCTGATTTTACTTTTACATTGTCTCTGTTGCTGTTGATTTTTCAGTAACTACTCGGTCCAATGATTCTCAAGGTTCACAACAAGACTATAAACAACCAAACAATGATAATAATGAAGGACATGATGGTTCAATAAATTCCACCGTTGATTGCAGACATCAGGAACAGGAAAATCATGGATCAGGTTCTCATTACGAGCAAAGTTAAGAAGATGATAACGAATCAGGTAAATAAATACCATTCGTCAAATGTTATACATATATTCATATGCTTAATCTAGGTGGATATCATGATCATCAGAACTAATTGATCAATTCAAAACAAGAATAATCATATAATCGAAAATAAACTTCATGTAGCATATCGATATTTCTTTTGATAATACTAGCAATACAAGTTCGTTTGTCATTTCTTTTAGTTTTATTCAAAAAGAAGACGTGTAACCCTTCAATGTGTTCAACACACTATTTTCAATGAAACAAAAAAAGAGCTAGAGTTGTGCATAAACATTTTGTTCTTTTCTTTTTTCTTGCTGTAGTAATGTTGACAAACAGTGCAGTGGAAAGGGGGAGAAAGGTATATTGTTATCGCGTTGTACTGTTTGTCACTATAATTGTCATTGGAGGAAAAAAGAAAAGAAAAAAAATATTTATATACAATTGTAACCCATTTTAGTGATTGAAAATGGTGTGTTGAACACATCAAAAGGTTACTCGTCGTCTTTTTGAATAAAACTAGAAAATGATAAACGAACTCGTAATACTACCATTCTTATCAATTATCTATATTTCGCTTAATAATATAAACATATTTTGTTATGCAGTTAGAAATTAAAGAAAAAAACTTTTTTGTTGTTAAAATTATAATATAATATAAGATATTGATTTCATCGATTCTTGAAATTCAGAATCTGCATCGTTTATATAATTATTGATCTAATTCACAAACATACTCACACAAGTATATATACTAGGATATTCCGCTAGACATCTATATGAAGTGATTTCTGTAATATTTTTTCTATCGATTCTTGAATTATAAATCATCAAAGATTCATTACTAAAATATTTCATGCATTGATAACAATATTAAAAAATATTTCTTGTTTACCTATCACCTTGACATATATCTTTATCACGTTGAATTACATCGAGGTAAACAAGTAAATCCAATATTTGAATCATTGAAATCAACATTATTTGTTATCTATAATAATAGAGAAATATAATTTGTATAGGTTTCATCATGAAATTTATCATGTTAAATAGTGAATTTAATTGTAAATCGAATTTGATTTGTATCATTTTTATATTGAGCACCAACGACAACAAAATGAGTTGAAAGTTGTGATGATTTATTACTATGAAAACAATTAACATTTGTTTATGCATATTTACTATAAAATAAAGTTGTACTATAAAAAAAAAGGGAACTCGAACCTAACAATGATTCACTAGCATTTGATCGAGAAAGACTTACTATTTTATTTAACATAGATATTTAGTTGATAATTAAATATTGATACTGACCAATCCATGGACATGAATGATCTTGAGTCGTACAACGATCAACAATTTTTCATTTGGAAAAAATAAGTTTTCTATGTGAACATTCACACTGTTTCGATGATCATATATATTTCTTTCGTCATCTTTATTTTATTTATATCATGGTATTTCTCATTCTTTTTCAAGTTAAAATTCCCATACTTGTTATATTGTTTCAATATAGCTGGTTCTTTCTGTATATCAATTATAATGAATCATATGATCATTTTATATGAATAGATTATGTAATCATCTTTTCTTTTCTCTAATAAACAAAGAATTCTCTTACAAAAATGAAATCGAAGCAGCATTATGATCGATAATTTGAATGCTTATCGAAAAAACTTTTAACTAATTTGAATACTCGACTTCGGTGACTAATTTGACGTTTTATTATTTTATTCATTTCAACAAATGTTTTATCATTTGGTTGTCCTTGTTCATTGTCTGGTTGAAATGTTAGATTCCATCTAAATGTATTTGATAAACGGGCTGGTACATTGCATTTCGAGGAACAAATTATCAATGTAACCGCTTGATAAGATGGCCCAGCACAAAATGTGAACACATATCGCGCACATGTTGTTGTATGATCATAACGAACAAGTAATTTATTCAGACGATCATGACCTAATTTATCTAAAAACCATTCAATATATGGACTTGAAAGACTATGTAAAGCATTAAAATGTAGAGACATATCTTCAATTGAAACAAGACCATTTATATGTCAAGCAAATAACATTACTTTTCTATTCCGTTATATCTTCAGGTTCATCTTGATATTCAGGTACTATAAAATGAATAAAATCAGGTATTGAAATTAATTTCTCAACGATTTAATGTTAGAAATGTTTCGCATAGAATTTTTCATTTTTATTAGAACAAATTTCGTATTTTTCTGGGTACCTGTAAAAAGTGCAAACAATTACTGACACCATCAAGGTTGCAAAAACAGATGGAGTTCGAAATAAATATCATATGGACTTCTACTTTGGGTTGTGCTTTTTGTTTTCAAGTGGAATATAGTGTGTTTTGTACTCATGAACGCTCAAGGCTGGACAAGCCAAGCTATTTCTTGAGTCAAATTCAGTTACTTTTGCCATATTTTCTTTTTCTGTTTATTTTGATAAAGAACGTCAACAATAAGTTTTTCATTACACGATATCTAGTTTCTAGTTTTTATGCAGAAAAGCAAAAATAAGAAAAGTCACACAAAATATAAAATGGCACAACGAGTCTAAATTAATCAACAAAATAATAAGACTAAAATCCACTTTTCTTTTATAAAATAACATATCACAGTAAAAAATATCTTTTTTTATGCAGGATGTCCCGAAAATCGTTACGAATCAATAAATATCAATAACTCAGCTAATCAACAGGATAGAAATTGTAACGACAGTCAACAACAAAAGTTTAAGCGAAATTAATTTTTCAGTATTTTTTTACCTTTTTTTCCAATGTTTTTTTATATTAAGAGGTACGGATCTGATTCAAGTGGTGATATAGATAGTAAGAGAGCTCAGCTACATGACGTATTATAAAACGAGGCTCTTTTATATAGATTTTTCATAATTAAAATAATTTTTTCCCTGTACAAAAATAGGTTTAAGTGTCTTTCAGTAGTTCGCATTTCGTAACCAAGAGATTTGTGCTAAAACAAAATATATCAATTGATAGAGAATTTCACGCTCTATCAGTTTATAAAAAAAAGATTTTTTCACAAAGTCGATCTTTACCTCCAAAACTAGGTTTTTGTGAGAATAGCCGAAAAATACGGAAAAAGTGAACTTCTTCAAATTCCATCGTCACTCATATTTCAGAGTGTGGGTGTGGTTAAACTGAATAGCAACAACCACACCAACATCTGCCATCCATACCCACGCCTACATCCGTTTACGAAAGGAATAGTGGTTATGATGAATTGATAGTTACTTCAACGAGTACACCAATCAGATTTGGTTCATCTAGATTACTCTCAGAAAAAGTAAGAGATACTTCTCGATCAAAACTTGTCGACAAAACGTTATTAAATGACAATAGCCCAGCTTTGTTTTTAATCATTTGATCAAAGTGTGTCTGTGATAGCCCTTGCCCACGATAAACAATAAATGAATTCATATGTGCTTGTTCAGCAAATGGTTGAGGAAGCAACTCGACTATGTTGTTGTGAAGATCTTGAAGAAAAAAACCCATAAGAATAATGAGATCGATCTCCATTATTCGTAATGGTCGATTGAGCATTGAATACAAAAACGTTTGGCTGATATATCACCAAATCGGGACACTGGTGATACTCTCGTTGAAGTTTGTCGACAATTTGCCATTCTTTTGGATTCGTGGCGAATAACTGACGACAATAAGTAGTAAACTGATTGATGAGGTATTGACTGAAATCAATGGTCAATAGGATCTCTTTCATTATCTATGTGTACATAAATGAAGAATCTAATTGGTCGAGATTTGGTTTGCTACTTTCACTACTAGTAAGGACAAAATTGATTGCAATCATCTTTTGGTCACATTTATCATTCGCTTGTTGAAGTGGTTTAATGGCTGAGATTATATCTATAAATACATAACTGATTTTTGGCCACTATTTGATCCAACATTCATGTTGGGCTTGGTTGTCACTCAAAACATAAATAGCACCAGGTGACGGACATTTCGCACCAAGTCATTCCGAACCCCGAACATGTGCCCGGGTGTTCGGAAGTGACTTTTTGCCGTAACAAATATTCGACGGAAGTTCGTAATCCTTTTTGAACAGGAGATCGTAATTGAAAACACAGGGAGATCGGAAAGGCGTTACTGGGAATTCGGAATGGAATGATCATTACTATATGCGAAGTAATGTTTAAGAATCGGGACGAAAAAGACGGGATGTTCATGATCCAATTTACCAGGAGATCGTAACTGATTTATTCTGATATTCGCAACGGTCATAAAGACTTTTCTTTCTTTTTTTTTTTTATAAAATCAAGAATGATTGATGCAATAGGTTCGTAATTATATAAACAACATCTACCTTTCTCTGTCTCTACACATAACGCTATGATAACTGTACAAGATGTTTGCGACTTTTATGCTTTAACCTATTCATAATGTTGATAATTGTTATCACTAATCTATGTGTAAATGAAGTACTATATAATTAAAAGTCTCTACGTTCAAAAATTATTGACTAGACTAGTGAGGGTATGAAGATATAGGTGAGGGTGACGTCTTCTATTTACTGATCCTCACCCACGCTCACACTCCACATCCTCGTCCTCACTCTCACATCCTCATCTGTCGTTTGTGTACTATCTTAGAATAAAAACTAGTAAATTATTTAACATATCCTAAAAAATAGCAAACATGAACACAGTTTCCAACATGGTGTTTTTATTGTTGCGGTCTTCCAATATTTTCATGCCAAACTCCGGTCAAATTTCACTTTTTTTTTCTCTAAAGATCAATATTCGTTACGATCTTCTGAACAACTTTCATTACGAACATCTTGTTCTTTTTTAATTTTGATTGATTTTTGTCATTCCGAACTGCCGTCCACTTAATTCCGAACACCCTGTCCTTTTTCATACGTCCGGAGATCGTAAGGCACATATGCTACTGGAGATCGTAATGAAAAGTTGGTGCGAAATGTCCCTTTCCCATAGCACCGATTTGGGGAATCTCATAGATGATGGGGACAGTTGTTTGTTTGAAGTCCTCAGAATAGATCATAAACATTTTTTTGTTCTTGAATATCGGTTATAAAAGCCAATGGATTCATTCACATTAGTGAATAGATGTATATTGTTTACTAGTTCTTCTCGTTTGTTGATATTTCTTGATATAATTATCGTTATTCATATCATCAATGTTGGTATCGAGCCACACTGGTAAGAATTTCTGAACCATATCACTATAAGAGCTTTGTCATGGCCTTATGCTCGTATGTTCAGATGGCGTGGCAGCAGCAGTAGTTGTGCTTGTTGTTGTCGACTTTTTCTTTGTATCGAGGTTCTGCATGGTATTTTATCAATGAAAAAATAAAATAAAATGGCTTGAATATATGTTGTACGTTGACTTTTTTTTTCTACATGTTTGTATTTGTTATCTTTGGTTTTAGTCATCGGAGTTAGTGTTTTCTTTTTGTTTCACTTGATTGCTTTAATCCTTTTTCATCTGTAGTTGTGTGTGGCGTCATAGGGCAATGAATAAGTAAAAAAAAATGATTTATTATAATATAATCTAATATACTGTATCGTAGTTCACTTTATTTTTATCATATTGCGTGGAAGTTTCCTCTCTTCTCCTCCTTATGTTTCGTAACCCTAACGAGAATCTTCAGTTTTTCCACTCTAAGTCTTTGATGTATCTAATAAGGATCCTGCAAGTATTCACTGTTTTCTTTTGTTTTCAGTAATGTGTGCAACAGTCGAACTCCAGAATCATAGCAGAACTCAATCAAAATTCTGAACAGTTTGCTGCTAGATTTGGAAACCAGGAATTGGTTCAGAAAACTATGAATCGTTAAAGAAACGCAAAGTCATAAAATGCGAAATATTTTGACAGAATTCGGTACAAGATCTTAGAAAGTTCTTGAGCAGTTTTCACTTTTTTAACAAAAGGATTCTCCTAAGACTACAATAATTTCCAATTGAAAAAGAAATTTATGTCTACATCTTGTAAGAATATTTATCAGCTTTTCTTCAGGATGTTATTAAGTTTCTTGATCGGATCTTTGCAAGATTTTCAAAAGAAAACAGAGAAGAAATGAACATATAGAACATCCATCTCTAGACCTTAAGTTTACAAACTGATTAGATTACCCAACTGAATCATGCCATGTTATTATGTTATGTCGAACTACAAGTTTCCATATCTTGAATTTCGACTGAATGGTGAACTTATAATGGAATTTTACCTGAACAAAAAGTATGTCAAAAGATTTTAAACATATAATATCGTTTTAAATATTGCTTTTAGTTTACGAAATTACACTATTTTTTTATTAATTTCAATTCAATTTAAAAAGTTTGTTTCTAATTTTTTCTACACATAATTTTGAGCTATAAGCTGGTCTTACCTGACGATTTGTCTTTTACTAAAAACAGTTATTTAATGAAAAAGAAATTAGTGTAATAACTAAGATGAAGTTAATAGCTTAATTTCAAAATTTTTCGAATGCTCTTTCAAGATAAAAGAGCAAAAAATAACTGTTGTTTCTGACCTGAACCTCATATCAATTTCACAATGAATGTTTAAGAGATCTGAAAAAAAATTCTAGGATTTTGCCTTAAAATTTGTTTGTTTATACAAAAATTCAACTATGTTGAGGATAAAATATTGGTAGCTTCTTGAGTTGTGTCCGATTCGAAGCAAAACATTATGAACACTTTAATAATTCTTCGATTTATTACTGTTGACATTGGTATTAAAACTCATGTTGTGATATAAAGGCTTACACATCTTGAACAGATTTCAAGAAAAAAAACTCATTAAAGTCTTGGTGAAACATTTACATTTATGTTGGTCAGAATTCTAAATAGAATCATTTATAAGTCTTAATAGGAACTTGAAAATCAGATTCTGAAAAGACTCTGAATCCTTTGTATTTTTCTATCGCGATACTGATCATCATTGGTATTGCTTTTTAAGGATTCGACAACACTTGTTTCGGTAAAATTCGAAGCAGGATGTTAATCGAAA